TATATAATAAATATATCACGTAAAATACGGTCAAGAGTCTTCAAAGTAGGTAAAATACATATTTAATATTAACAAAAAATAAACCCCAACTCCACATGTGTCCGTGAATATCAAATGAGTAAATACAACTTGTATTGAAAGAAAGTAAGTTCGGTACGTAATACTTTGCGACAATGACCCGCTTTTAGTTGACGTATATACATCCGGCATTGTATTGTCACCTGGCTTTGTTTACTTTATAGGTGTTATGTGAAGAAAAATAGAATAAGCGAGTCGAGTTTCATATCAAATTGGGACATAACAAATCGGTACGTAGAACATAATTAAGACCCACCTATGTCTACCATTAACTTGTTTATTTTTATAACACCGAAAGCGTTTATCATTTTGTCGTAATTCAAACCTAGATCTCATAGAAAAGTAGCTTACTGTGTTTCATTCTAAGCGGTTATAGAAAATATACTAAACAATTGTTTAGTATATTTTGTTTGTAGTTTAAGCGAGTAGTAGGTACATATTCAAATAGAATTAGAAACGGTACTTTAAATACCAACAGCGACAAAACAGATGGCGCTAGCTTGTTTTGACTTTGACATTAGGGAGACCGTCCATCTACTGTCCCTCCGGTAACATGGAAACGGCTACTTTAAGGTTAACGAAAATATTTTACGTTACACGTGTTTTTTTATTTAATACGTATGTTTTTAAAAGATTAAAGTACATATAATATAAAAGACAAAAATGAAGCTGGTAAATTATACATAGATATAGTGTGTAGCAACCCTATATTTGTTGTGTTGAAATGTTGGGTATAAAGTTCGTCTTGGTTTACGGATCTCATACGGTAAAATACACATTATATGCTTTATCGCAATATATTGGAGGGCCGGATAATCCGGGTACCCGAGTGAATCTTGAGGATTTGCGACATAATCCCCTTCCTGCCTTCACTACGGCTGACGGTATTTCGTTTTTATTTACACCAAATTTTTCCCGGTAGCAAACATATGCCACTAGTTGCGCTATGCGGCGTCACGCGAAATAATGCTATTGAGAAATAACATTTACAATAACATGTTGTGTTGTATGGGACGGTGTGTATCTTAAAGAATTCTAAAACATTTATCACAGAGCTGTTCAATACAGTTTCATTCTTATTTCTTCAGTTTAAGTACAGCGTATCCCCACAAATAATCACGTAGACAATAGAGATAGGTATGCTATAGTCTATATGATATGTTGAAAAGTCTACATAATCTGTAGGATACAATTTATGCAATAATTAATGTATCAGGCCATTAGAGGCACAGTAGCCTAACTGCAATTTTATGACTTAATACAAAAGCATAGTAATAGAAAATTGTTAACATAATTCTTACAAGAATAATAGTTCAAAATCATTTTCGCCTAAGTTAATTGTACATTTTTATTTTGCTCTTTAGTGAACATCATGCTTTTGTTATTAGGCCACTCTGTCTCTAACAGCCTCATATATACGCTTTTATCCTTACAACATAATAAAATATTATTTCTCTAATCGCAGTTCATGTATATGATATACGGATGTAGAAGTAAAGGTGGCATGAATCAACTTTACAATTTTGTAATATTAGAATACTCACATTTCCAGGGCCTGCATACTTTGTATATTAAACATAAATCCAGCAATACCTAGTAAAAAGAGAATCAATAACAATATCCAGAGCGAAATGGGTCGACAGCGCATTTGGTTGAGAATTTATGTAGCTGGGGTATTTTACCTTCAACCAAGTACTTGATGTTTGTATGTTTCCTTTTTCATAAAAAAAGACAGTAGATAGAATAGACAAACATGCAAAATAATAATTAATGTATTATTTATTACAATGATATATTAATAATAATAAATAATATTTCGTTTCAAATTAATTAATTTTATTCTTCAGCAAAAAGACACTGTCTATAAATAAAACATTTTTAACACTTTAATATGCGAAATATATTAGTCACCTTTTTTTAAATTTTAATACCGTCCGACATCACGTTTCAGATGATTTACAGGAGTCGACTTAGTCTAAGTAAACTAATCTATTTGCGTTTTGAACCGTTAAAAGTGTTTTATTTAAATGTGTCCCATTCGCGTAAGCTACAGACAATACTTAAGACACATTCTGTCACATTTGCGTAATATTAGAGACGAATAGTTAAACTTCCCACACACCTATTCAAATAGCTGATACTATAATAGTTCAGTGTATTGTATGAAAATAATTTCTAAGATATCTCGCTTAAGCAATTCACGGGTTCAGAGGTTCTCGCCCACGCAGCCTTTGTATGCGACTGGGTTGTAACGAGTTATTCGAAATTACTTTCAGAGATCTTTGAACTCCGTCCACAGATTATATTGTAGCAAAGAATCTCTTTTTTTAATCTCCGGTTACTATGATTGAAAATACAGCTTGCCATGTATTGTTATGCCATTTGGGATTTATACCTTTTATCCATCTTTAACCTAATTTAACCAATCAAAAGTTTTTTTTTAATAAAACACTTTAACGGCTTAAAAAGCGATATATTAGTTAAACTTATTTGAGAAATGAATTTATACTTCGGCCAGACGTTTCGGATGCTTTGCAGCACCACGTGCAGCTTCCGTGACCACGACTTAAATGTGTACTACTCGCGTAAACTATAGACAAAAGTTTTTTTTCTGAATTCATTTTAAGCTAAATAATTGATTAAACCTTTGTAGTAAGATCACTCTATCGTTTGAGAAGTTCTACGCATCTTGTTTAGAACCGATATTCAAATGAAACACTTTTAATGGTTTAAAACGCGAAATATTTTAGTAAACTTCAAGTCCAAAGTGTTCTCATCGGTTTATATTTTTTCTGAAACATGTTGGACGTCGTCTGGAAATCTGCATATTATAACTACCGTCCACAGATGAAAAAGCCGTAAACTATTTAATCTCGCTTCATTTAAGTGTCTGTCTGTGAATTTCTAAATATCCAAAGCCAAAATAGGTTAACAGCGCATTTTATTGAGGTATTGTATGAGGTATTTCAAGTAAAACCCACTTTTGTCTTTTCTCCTTTCTCATAAAAAGTTTACTTATTTTTAATCTACGATTCAAAGTAGAAATCAATATTTCGCGTTTTGAACACTTAAAAGTGTTTTAATTAAATGTGTATTGCTCGCGTAAACAACAGACAGTACTTATTAAATGTTATTAATTAAACTTGCAATTTAAAACAGAAATCGCTCTAACAGACTATAATTACGTGAAAGTTGAAACCAAATGTGTGTTAATTTTACGAGTGCTATACTTTTGCAATATACTTATTAATCAGGTCAAACGCATCGAAATTTGCATTCTGGCCCACAAAATACAAAAAAAAAAAACAATATTTCGTTCTGACATCATTCAAAGATCATTCCACAGACAGCTGGCGTTAATTCGGCGGGAAACCGGTCAGATCACTTTCGCGCAGACTATAAAATGCACAGATAATCATTAGTGTGAGTCAGGGATCACTTTTTTGGTGCTTTCTCCCACACCTGCTTCGATCACGGATATGAGCACTTTCAACTGGTGGAAAATGGGAGCATCGTTTTACGTGGCCTTGTTTCGAGGTAGACCCGATGCGGTGAAGTTAGCCGGCCAGTGTTCGTGCGACTTTCTAGCGTGGAGTACGTGTCGCGGAACGTAAAAATCGGCGCGAAATTCACGCGTGTGCTGTGTTTGTGTTGTGTCTGTGGACTCGGAATCTTGCAAATCTGGAGCGATACATTTCTTTTGAGAGGTTCGTTTTATTCCGTATTGTTATTTGGAATTCTAAAATTGCGTTAGCAGATTTCACTGCGTGAAATGTGAAAGTATGATATATTGTACCGATGCGAAATGCGAATCACGACCGCTGCTCGCTAATAAAATGTGTTATTTATTTGTTTGCATATTGCGTATCTTCTACGTACGTTATGGAAATTAGACATACATGCAAGTTATTGTAACTGGATGGAATAAAACAGTAAAATTGAACATAGCTTTGATTGTCGCTCATCTTATTTTTTTTTAATTCCTTAAATTATACACACAGAGAAATAATGCTAAGTTTATACACCAAACATTTTGGAATAAAAATAAACCAGCAAAAGTACCTACTCTCGGGAAAATGTCACAAAATGATTTAGTTTATTTCGCTTTAATTTAAGTATGCATTTAAACGGTAAATTTCTGGAATTCCAGTCGGAAAAATTGGCCACATGGTACAAAACTAGTTCGAAATGTTAAATAAAGGAAAAAGAAGATCTAATACACTAGTAAATACAAATTAAAAAAAGTAAATACCCAAAGAGGAGAACTTCTCTCTGACTTACTCTTGAAATAATTTATATTAATCATTATAGCTAACCTTGTTGGGAAGAGAACATTGATTTCTGCTCAACTCTCACTAACATTGATCTCTCTCACTCTGGGAAATGCTAGAACTCACAAGTCGGAAACCAAGCAAGCTACGCTCGATGTTTCCCACAAGGCATAGACACTTAACAGTGTTATGATTAGAGTTTCATTAATTTGTACCATTGAAATATGTTAAACGTCAACAAAATAAACATTTCAAGTAAGTACTGAATTAGACTAGCCGCCCACAACATAAATACATTTCTTTGTTTGTATTTAAATTTTTAAATGCAGTTTAAGGAAGCATGCCCATGTATCAATATACATTTTTTTTTATTTTTATTTTGACTTTTGGTCAGACTATATTTTAACAAATAATAAATTTGGTGAATCACCTTAGTGCTTCCTAAGCACTAAGGTCCTTGTCCATTCGAATAAACTATGAATAATATGAAGCTGCTAGAGGCAGAGTGGCCTAATAACAAAAACATGATTTTCAATAAGGACGATAATAAAAACACAATTAACTAAGGCGAAAATGAATTTGCACTATTCTATTAAAATGTTATGTTACCAATTTTCGGTCACTGTGCCCTTGTAGAATATCGTTTTTAGACTACAAAATATAAATAACTCAAGTCATAAAATGCAGTTAGGCTACTCTGCCTCTAGTGGCCTTATTTTACTATACACTTAGTTTTAGCAGACCTCTTATGTTGTCCTTATAAAATTTTAGTTCATTAAAAATTGCGTGTTGTACCGAAGGTCAAGATCAAAGAGTAAAGTGAAAAGTACCTTTAGCGAACTCCACTAATTTCTAATTCGCGTGCGCTACCTTCAATGCCCTCGTTCCTTTAACTCTTTATAGAACAAAACTTATTAATTACCGCGTCCCAAGGTAAAGATGTTTTCCTTTGCACGTTTCCGCTTTCCATATTAGATTGTGGATGCCATCGACGACTTCCTTATTATGATTTTCTTTATTGTGTTTTTCAGACAAAAAATTAAATATTATTATTAAATTATTGAATAGTGTCGTGTAGGGCAAACTACGATACATCTTACATACATTTATGTAGTTAATCACGATGTCTTATACCCTGAGATTGGAAGCTATAACTCAACATAAGGAGCAGGGCCATCACACTGTAAAGGAGTAAAGTAAACAAACCAACCATTGAACCCAGGAAGTCACATCTTAAATGCCTTAAATAAACTATTTATAAGTAATAAGCTTTATATGCTCTTCGCACTAGTACTGATCTACTAGTCCGTTTAAACTTTAACGTCTTCGAATTTCGAGTTCACGTTTTAAACCGTTAAAAGTGTTAAACTCTCTTTGTCACAGCAGTACACTTACGTTCATTAGGTTGTATGGCATTCATTGGTGGTAAATGACTGCCTTACAATAATATTTAATTTTCATTTTTATATGAAATTATAACTTGTTCAATATTGTTCGTATTCCGGGTCGACAAGAGTCGACAGAGCTCGTTGAATTATTATTTATCTACTGAAATTTGCTTTGAGTTAATACTTTGTGTATCTACTTTGAGTTGAATTGCTGAAATGTACTTGAATACAAGGGCGAGCTAGATAATTATTAAAGAGAATGTGAAAAGCACGTCTATATTGGGAAACAGTATTAAATCAACTTGCCTTAAAGTACCCACCCAATTAAATATAGGATTTTATCCCGAAAGAATCGTGTCCTCCCACAACAAACCTTGAAAAGTGTCACGGTTCTTGGAACCTAGAGTTTCCTTTTGTCCCATTTTATTCACTACCCATACACATACGATAAACCCACAACACGAACCTGCGTCGTTATTTATGTAACACAGTAAATTCTATGTTTATTAATAATTCTCACGAATATGAGATTTTAACTTTTTATTTAACCTTATTATTATTATCACATGTACGTGATGGCATAACATAAATTAAGAATCAAATAAAAATGTTAGATTGGTTAGAGCAACAGTACGGAACGCTGTAAATGAATAAATAATCCGTTTATCACAAAGTACATAATTTACAATTAAAATAAGTAATAAGAAAGAAACCTGACAATTAAAAGAATACAAAAAAAGTACAATTTTAACTTGGCGCTAAAAGGCATCAAGACTCAGCATGTGCTCAGCAAGGCTTGCTAAGCGCTGATTTTCAGTCTGTCCCTATCAAATAACAAGTACCAAAACATGTAAATATTGTGGAAAAGTTGTAACGAACTTGAAAAAATACCAGTTCAAGTCTTGACCGTGTCGTAACTTTTTAAAATCTAAAATCGATTTTTAATCTTTTACCATCACACAGGCACAGGTTCAAGACTCGCTTGTGTCATGTAACTCGTAATCATAGTGTGGTCTTCTATGTTCAGTCTTTGCCCTTCCCACCCAAAATTTTCTTTCTTTCCCACGACGCACGACGTCTGTGATGACAAATCGTCGTGCAACTTAAAAAATTAGAAAGAGAGTAGACGAATACGTTAATTCTATTTTTAGCGTTTGGAAATTACGGCCAACGAGCTTAATTAAAATCTCGAAGAATCGGGGCGTGTTCAAGTTTACGGCGAAAATTCTTGATAGGCCGTTACTTATACATCCCTTAATTTAATTTATTCGTCAACAAAAGCCTTTTATTACACTTTAATTATCGTCGGCCTTCGCAGTTTTAATTATAAACGTTAATCTCGTTTAATAATTTCAAACAAACTGGTTAATCTATATTTGTTGTTCATCAATCGAGGTTTTATGTATTATAAATCTGTATATTTGTATTATGAAAATTTTGAATTAATCTATACTTCTATTATAAATGCGAAAGTAACTCTGTCTGTCTGTCTGAAATGAAATTTGGTATACAGATATTTTAGAGCCTGACAAAGGAAATGGAACTTCGTGGTGTTTGATGCTAGAACAAGTCACTATTTCACGCGCACGAAGTACCGGGCTCAGCTAGTTCTTAATAAATACTAAAGATATTTCAATTACAAATAGTTATAAGTCCCTTCGGGCCAAGGTCTGTTGTAAAGCATCTGAAACGCGCTGTAATGAGAAATAAATTATGTATTTCACGTTTTAAACGAACAAAAGCCCATTTTCTCTAACGCATTAAACTTTATTTTGAAATTATTGCTTAAAACGACATGATTATAGTTTAAATAAAACACTTTTAACGGCTTAAAATGCGAAATGTATTACTTAACCTTATGTGCAAATTAACTAGCATGCTTTTTTTTCGTAGTAAACAGATAAAGGTGTTTTATTTAAATGTGTAGCACTAGGGTAAGCTAAGATACAGACAGTAGGTACTTTTTATCTATTCATAGACTATAGACGAAATTAATTCACCTCACTATTTTGGCATAATCCCCATATTGAGTTCTTGTATAATTAATTAAAGTATAGGTATTTGGATCTATCCATTTAGTAGCGTATCGTTTTAAGAACTATAAAATTGTGTTTATCCAACTACAGGTACACATTTAGTATACAATGTATCTTTATATGCCGTAATATGAAATGTAAGTGCTCTATAAAATGTGTGCTATGAAAGCTCGGCAAAATTGTTATTAATTAGTGAGGTCGAAGATCGGGTTTAACGCAGCGATGCCCAATTTGGCTGCGGCATGTGGAAAATGGCGGCAATTAATGGCATGGCTCTTCGCTTATCAAGCGAGACCACGTGCGATGAAAAATATGAGTTAGCGCTTTTATGAATACGGGGCGGGTTATGGCATGTTTACCCTTTTTAGCTGATGGTGTGTCCTGAAAGGTGTGTTTACCCTAAAACAAAAGAATAAGGGTACCCTACTAAACAATTACGAATTTCTGCAACCAAGCAAAAGATATTTGGTGTATTTACCCTAACGAGATAAGGGTCTAATAAATATTTTGTCAAAAATTAACACACTAATACATAACAGGGGTATTTATCACGTCTAAAATGATCTGTTTCAAAGATGATTTGTTTGTCTCAAAGCTGCTATAAATCAGTAGTGAGTCATTCGTAATTAATCAATGAACTAAAAAAATGTTATGTTTTAAACCGTTAAAAGTGTTTTGTTTAATGCGTTAAAGTTACGATATCGTCTACCATTTATCCCAATTTATTTCTAAATAAAACGTCCGCTGAGTTAGGTATGCAATTAAAATGTTTTACATTCCCAACATTTAATCGAAAATTCGCGCACTATTAATTACATTAATAGTCCATTGATATGGACAGGTTATTAAAGCATAGATAATAAATGAAAATACTTTTAAAATATGCTTTCACTTTCATTTAAATACTAGCTGTGTCCGCGACTTTGTCCGCGTGGAATATTCATTTATTTTATTTTTTTTCGAAGGGCACGTAACGGAAGCCACCAAGATGTGTTTTTTTTACTTTTTACTACATTTCTCCCTCTTTCTCGTTTCTATCATCGCAGCCTAATGTTTTATAGCCCTAGGTTAGATCATTTTATGAGAAAGCCTTATTCGTTAGATGATCTAACCAACACAAAAAGAATATCATTAAATTCAAACCAGTAATTCCTAAGATTAGCGCGTTTAAACAAACAAACAAAGAAACTCTTCAGTATTATATAGTAGTAAATTTTATCCTTATTGTATTATTGTTTAAGCTTTATAAGTATAGATGTTATTCAGAGCGGCAATCAATAATATTTTTTTTAACGAAAAACAATGACTAACTAGGCATATTTTCTTTTGCAGTGTCGTAGAATATTCTTGTGCTCTTCACATACAATAGAACTTAATTGTGAGGCGGAATTCTTTCGGAATAGGTTGTTTCTTTTCTTTCTCTGAGAAGTGAAGAACCACTTCAGTGTCTGACATGTCGTTAACGCAAGAGCTCCGAAAATATTTTTTTTATGCTCTTTAAGTTTCTATTTCTAGCGTTAATTCAAAATATATATGTACATGTACACAATAACATACAATTATATGAATTAAGTTGTCTTAAGTTTAAGTCCCTTACTTAAAAAGTAGGTTAATTTCGTATTTGTTTATTGCGAAATGAAGAATTTACATCGAAAACTTCCGTGCAGAATGATCTGGAAACCAATTAAAAGAATTGATCGCTATTCGATAACGCCATTCCTATAAATTCCGCTAACTTTCTTCAATTAAT